AATGTTTAGCCGCTCTCCTCAAGAGTAGAGAGGTGGGGTGGTTGTCGAAGGTGGATGCCACCTTAGACATGCTGTTAGGGGACGTCAGAGATTTTCCCATCCAAAACATATGTACTTCTTCCACCCCCGATAGGGTCTACCACTTGGCAACAGAAATCAGGACAAATCCTAAAAGGTGGGATTCGTTTTCAGCTTCCACCAATGCATCGTCCTGAAACCGTCCCAAAGATGAAAGAAGACATAATGCTTGAGGAGAACATATACATTTGACATGCACAAGACCTTTGGACTACTGGTATAGCTAATAAGACAGGCTGCCTGGCGGTGGTAAAGAGGCGAAGCCCAAATTTGTGGGTTACCAAAACCAAGAGTTAAACGAACAACCGTGCCAGTAACCCCCTCTCCTCTCCTCAGCCCTTCCTCACGCTGCCAATGCATTTCTGCCATAGTTTACCTCTTCTTTCAACTTCAGGCAAGACTTAGGGCGCTGCAGTAATAACTAGTAGACAGGCCCAACATGCAAATAAACAATAATTGCAACTGATTGTGATAACCTTGAAACGCCGGTTGTAGAAACGCTGAGAAAGTGTCATTTATAGCTGTGTCAATTGTGTGTGTGTTTAACTTTATGCACCAAATACGAACAAGAACAACAACAGCCATCGTATTATAACATTGTACTTTGATATATTGCTGAATTTTAGATAACCGAATTCGTCTCATTCACTTCTCGAACCCTGTCAACGTGGACAGTGGTGATGTTTACTATTGAGCGACTGATCGTGGTGGTGTGGCCTCTGCACGCCATTAAATGTTTCACCCTCCGACGCTCCCAATTCCATATTCTTCTCTCCATCTTAATCAGCCTCCTCATCAATATGCCGTGGTTTTTCGCCCTTGAGACGGTGCAAGACCCCTGCGGCACCGGTGAGTTTGTCTGCCGGCCCAACGAAGTGCTCAATATCAACCGCATTTTTGAAGTTCTCTTCCTCTCCGTCCTTCCCGCTACCATCATCTGCTCCTGCAACGCTGTCATCCTGCACAAAATCCGCAACCATCGACGACCCGGAGCCGAGGGAGGACAAGGGGGATGTGTAGGCGGCCATCCTGGATCCGGTCAATCGGTCACACATTCTTCCACCACCAGGCAACTCCTGGCTGTATCCTTCTGTTTTGTGGTGCTCACTTTGCCTTCCGCGGTGATCAACGTAGTCCAAACCTTTAACCACTTCCTTGACACATTGAAGGATTTTTCGGGCAGCCTGGCAGACACCTACTACATCGCATGGTTCCTCTTCATGATCAACCTGAGCAGTAATTTCTTTGTCTACTGCCTAGTTCGACGCACGTTCAGAAAGGCGGCTTTGAGACTATTCAGGAGAAAGTATGGACACTGTTCTCACCAGAATCGTGCCTCTACGCTGCATATTGCTCAAACGGAGGCTGTCACGTAGCCGGGTAGCCCAAATGACTGTTTTTATTTACCCATTATGAAAATAATGGTTTTGCTATTTTTGACATGAGAATAAAAGTTGGGGTGGAGCATGATATGCATATTTCAATTCCGTAACCATAGAATTATGACACCGGATATGCAAAGTAAGATAGGATGATAATTTTGAGGGTGAAGTAGTTAAAACTGACATGTTGCTGTCCAAGTGTTCTAGACAAATAGTTGCATCGAATTCCTACGAAACATCGAGTACTGTCGCTCGTTGCCATGCGTAACTTGAAGACTCCAAAATCATGAGTGCCTTGTTTTAAACTTACTTTATTCACCGTCTCTTTGAAAGAATGACAAGGTATGACAGCTTGCCTGACTGATCATCAGTAGACTAAGATGATATTTGGAATAAGTAATTTCTGTGTTGCTGTTCACTTTTAATAGCAATAAGTCCAGAATTTATTGGGTTTAAGAAAATAGTCTGTCGGGCGGTCGTTTTTAGATTGGTGAATCCAAGTAGGTTCCCCAGTATACCATCATTTGAGTTGTTTATCCAGGAACAACTCATCAACCACGGCTCAATTTTCTCAGGATGCAAAATTGTGTTTTTGGTATTCATGTCCAAAAATTTTGCTATATGAGCCATAATGAGTTAATACGTAAAACTTAAGCATTATTTGTAATCACGTCAGCTAATTATACACAATGGGTGAAACAGGTAGGCCTTATTTAATCGGGTTTATTAATTTGTACAGGTGAGACTCATGTGTATTTATCAAATGACTCCCTTACGTCGTTGATTTGATAAAGAATTCTTTAATTTTGTTCATTATAGCAAATTTACAATATAAACCAGTGCGTCATTTATGCTGTGATGGATTTTAGTGAAAACGTCCTTAAGCATTTCATCATCAAGCATCACTGAACGTAAATACCGATCACTTTAAAGGGTTTTAAAATCTCAAACCTGTTTTGGAATAAGGTAAGCACTTACAGCTATTCAGGTTGCAAATTTCATCATCAGAAAATGCAATTTTCACAAACATCGAGCTATTTTTTGGGACTATACCGAGAATAGATATCCAGACTATTTAAAGCGCAATAAAGAAGAAACGTTACGTTCTGTTCCATGCCTTTCAGTTTAATGAAAAAATTACCTATGACTTTTGACAGCATCCACCTTTGTTTGAGAACAAACAGCATATTTTTAAAATGGCAGTGAAGTTTTTGTGGGTTTAGAACATTACCGTCAGTAATAATTTGCTCTTAAAGTTGTATTTACCTTAATAGGTGTTACGATTCGAAATACTTTAAACTTCTTTGGAGAATTTCGTGCAGCATACCCGTAGATTTTACAGTGAAAAATTGTCAGTTCTATGGTATCCATTCTCCGATTACTCTCTAGTTGTTACTTTTCCTTCATATTCAGACAGTAATTTCCGTCAAAAAGCACATAGTTGTGATTTTTTCTGTTATTGAATTAAAATATGCAAGTACTGCATAGATTTAGGAGTATTAGTACATTTTAGTTAACCAAAGTGAGTCGTTCTGGGTGAAGTGATCCAGTGTGTCAATGCAGTAAGTTCTCCAAATGTTAAACTTTCTTTTCTTACTGCTAATATGATCCTACATTTGTAATGATCGCTACTAGGCGCCCCTCTTTCTCATGATGGCTTTCCTGTATGGGGAAAAACGTGTACTGACTTACAATTGCCTGTATTTTTGAAAGGCTTTACTTTGGATTATATCCCTCATAGCATTTGTTTACCCCGAGTCCCTGACAGATTTCAGTACCTCTGACTTCGTTAACCTTCACTCCTCCACTTCCCACAATGCTTCCACTAAAATCTAAGTTGGCATAAATTACCAAATAAATGTGCACGAAATATGCAAGGAAGCTCTCTGAAGCGCAACCATTTTTAACTAATGTACACTATCACAGACTTAAAAAACCACTCGTGGGAATTCAATTACTGCTGTTACTATTGTTAGTGTCAATTTTTCATAAGTAATCAGATGGCGCAATTAGTTCCCTCCTTCTGACTCGGAGGGAGGGAGGAGTATGCATGTTGTCAGCTATATGAATGCCTTGAAATTCATCGTATTTAGGGTGATTGGAACAAGTACCAGTTCCCTCTTATTTATTATAATCCCTTTTGTATGATGGAGCTCTGCTTTATCTTGCATTGCGTGCGAGTGTCTCTCTTCAAAGCCAACTACTTTGCTTATGAATAACAGATTTGAAATGACTTTTTCCTCACCTTCTGCAAAATACCTAATAACAAAACCTATGATTGTAATAAATGTATCATTCTGAATATTGCTTCCCATGTGCCAGGAATATTGTATTATAAGAATGATTGACTTCATTTCGCAAGCTGGCGTCTAAATCTAAATTGTGAAACTCGGCTGCCAGCAAACACAATCGTTTTCCAAAACAAAAGAAACACAGTTATGAAAAAGCTCCCCTCTAAGTCCCCTTAGAGTTCCCTGGAGCCGAAAGAAGACAAAATAGTGGGGCAAATTATGTGTTCCTGATATACAGTTGGAATAGGAGACCACTGGCATGGTCCAGAGGTCACGCAGCCCAGCTGAAGTACAGAGGCGGAGCCTTAAGTGCTTGTGTAACCGTTAGGAATAGTTAAACAAATATTCAAAGTAATACATGGCCCCTTACATGGCCCCTCTCTCCTTTTGAGCGTCGTCCCCAGTGCTCCCCTAGGTAGACCTCCCGCATTGGCCACCACAATTTATTCGGTGCTGTAAGAAAGCTACTTACAAACCATACGTGCCAGTCATTGAATTCGCGTGCAACTGAGAAGGCATCCGACTGAAACCTCACTTAGCTCTTTATGTAATTCTGCTGAACTTGGAGTTTCATCCTGTGTAAGAACAGTATTGGAGGAAGGAAGAATGTGTAGATCATCACGCATGCCCATCTCCAGTCGCAAGAACCCTGGCCTGAGAGTAGAGTAATTTAATAAAGGACGGTGTTTAAAATAGCTTCTTGGGGATAAAATTTTGCGTCTGTTTCTCCTTGTCACTTTGTTTTTACTTAAGTACTGCCCAGTCATATCTATGTGGAATCTATCCAGCTAGCGGAGAGGTGGACGAGATATTGCTTGCTTACTTAATTGGCATCCCATCCATGTACCGCAGGCAGCTCAATAATAAACGTTTATTGATAGTTCATGGCTAATGCCGTTTCATTCGTTGTTAACATTGCTGCAGAACAGATGACCGAGATGATTCCCGAAGGTATTTGTTCTTGTTCCTGCCATGGAGCGTCACAAATTCCTTCATCTTCAGCATATGCCCTCTTTCTGACACGTTAAGACTTATCATCTGGGAATTGAAACTAGGGCATTTGCCCTTTAGCACAAGGTTAGCTTTCCTGTACCGCTAATGTTTCGCCCCAGGACTTCCTGTAACACGAAAGAAAATGTAAAACTATGGCTGAGTATGCATTAGCGACATCCAGATGAGATGGAGGGTTACTGGTATGGTGCGGAGACCATGACGGGTCCTTAGGTGCTCTTGAAATTAAATGGACGAATAAAATGAATGATCGAAATATTACACATACCTTATCTAGTTTTTTCATTAATGGTTTTAATGTCGTTGTATTCTCATTCTAACTTGCTTATTAAGGCACAAGGGAATAATGGATAAGTTATTAATTATCTGCTTCTGATAAATAATGAACGAGGCCTAATTAGCTTTACAAAAGTGTCTAATCTGTAAACAATGTACACAGAAATGCTTGACCGTTGTTGACTTAAAATAGTTGCGAGACAAGTTGATTTACGAGTCACTTAATCGAGTTCTATAACTTGAATTAGACATATGCCTACACGGTTTCTCAATATTACTAGACTATGCTGTAAGCCGGTTGGCCTGCAACATAGAGGGTTTTGACTGTAAACAGATACATGCATGCTTGGAATCGCATAAACAGCATTTAGGACCATTTGCTTGACAAAAACACGAGCATATGTCCCTCTTATTGGTTTCATTCATGGGCCCAATCCCAGGCCTACCAGCATTCGGTGGGGATGAATCAACGCTGCACTCCTAAGCAGTCAACACAGAATTTACATAAACTCATCACTTCGCCTAGGAAACTTTATTAGAAGGAGGATATTTATATCATTTGTGAAAAGGCATCCAATTTGAATGGTTGAAGTTATGGCCACTAATAGTGGGAGGACTACGGAAATCATACCGTCTTTTAGCAGCTATCCCCATCTCAAACCCCGCATAATGGCTATTAGCAGCACGAAACCGAATTCAAAGGAATAACAAATTGTTGACAAAAAACTTGCAATTTTATATAAACATATTTAAAAATACCGGCAGGTAGATTTGATACCACCCATGGTCTGAAAATGTGGAAAAAATCATGCGTAGCACTGAGTTGGTAGCAATGTAGAAAAGTGATACTACTACTGAGTGCGACGTCGTAAAATCGTTCGACATTACATTATTACATAAGGGTTTTGCATTTAGACTGACATCCTTCCAAATATGATTCGCTCCCCGCTATGCATCTTTCACCCTTAATTATAATAAAACAAATTTACCCCTAAAAATTTAAGGTAGCAATTGATGTGTCTATCTAATTTCACAAAGCTTATCACTATCACTGAAATGAAAAATCTTGTGTCCTTGGTAAAAACTGCTGTTTGATGTTCAAGTTCTGTCTCGCAGATGACTTTACTGTACCTGAAGAAAATGAATGACGCTGAAGACCACTGTGTAATAGAATGTCTCAGCTGCATGTTCGACTGCACGGGCGCTTCGTCTCCTGTTGCCAGATTATTACGCTCTCCGTGCTAACAAACTCCTACCTGCTCTCTGTCTCCATAGTAGACCTACTTAGAGATTAGTAGGCCTCATTACCCACTTTAAGGCATCTCTGGCGCCTTGCTTTATCTCAGTGCTCTTTACTAGACTAATACAACTCGTCAAAATTCATGCAGTTTCGACAAAATTTTTTCAAGAAAACATGCTGACTATTTGGATTAGTTATTTAGTAAAATATCCAGCGAATTCGATTGCCGGTGCTATTAAAAGTAGGCTAAAATCATTTTGGAGGATAAAAATGTCCAAATTTTTGCCAGCTTAAAGCATATTGCTTTTCCATTACAATGTCAAATAGGGTGATGACAGAAATTTCAAGAGACTAGCACGACTTCTCACTACTACAACCTACTGTAGAGAGTTTGATACCCTGTGTATCTATATGTTTAACCACAAGGACGCCTCATCTCCAGTGGGCTGCACCGTAGTCTGCCATGCATATAGCTTTCAGGCCATCTTTTAATCAGTGTCGAGGTTTTTTACAAGCCAACTTAATTTATTGCGAAAAAAACGAGCTCCGACCCCCTTTAAACGATGATAGCCTGTAAATCTCCACGTTGCTGGCCAAAAAGGACCCTATCCATATTTCAGGGATACGTAACCGAAAGTGGAGGAGAGAAGCGTAGGATCCTTTACACTGATGCCAGAGTCCCAATCAAGGCTAAAATAGATCTTGAATTGGGGCTTGAAAATGCTGGATTCAAACTTTGGTTTAGACACCCAACATCAAAGGACACATCGGCCCCTACGCACTGGCCTTCAAAACCTTTCCTCAGCTAGTGTTAAGATCGTGATAACCATAAATACTAATTTTGAAAATTGCTGCAATACTTCGGCTCAACTTGCTATCGATCAAAAAAATAGATATGGAGAAGACAAAAAGTAAGCGAATAACTTACAGTAATTGGCAAAACGTGCTTTTCGTCGCTCACGCTTAACTAGAATTGAAGGATATCTAAACAGCCGCCTCAGACACGGAGTCTGCCATATACTATGGTTAGGAAACTCAATGGCATGGATACTAACTCCCTCAGCAAGTGTATAAAGTTCGCTGTGAAGAGGCGCCCGGATTTTGCTAGAGCACTGCGTTTTAATAACCGCTTCGGCTGATCAGACCCAACCTTCTTTAACCAAGACTCTTTGCATTTCACCCTGAAGTTAGCTGAGTCCTCCTTTCGCCTACCCTGCCTGCCTCTAAATGGCCCTCATTTAATCTTGCGGGCCTCAGGCAAATTATTAAGACATTCTTGCAATTTCCTCGTTGCCTTGAGAGGACCTATGTCAGCAGTAACTCAGGGCTTTTCTGCCTCTACCAGAAGGTCAGGCATGTATAACCACCAATCAAGCTAGCAACAGGCACAAGAAAAAGACAAGGCAGTAAAAGGCTATACATCACTTTATGTTAGCACAGGCCAGTAAACCTGGATGGTGAAATTGGGTTCGAATGTGATTCTTGAGGCGGCTTTTCCACGTAGCACCAAAGCAAGCCTAAATTGCAGAAGACATATTTTTTCACCCACTAGGACAATAAAGCAGCAGTGACAACGAAAAAAACGTGTTGAAGATATTTGCGATGTCGTTTTTGGAGCCGCAACGGTACATTTGAACAGCCCATGCTACCTGAGTTTGCAGATAATTCATACCATCAACGAGGAGAGGGAAGAACTATGGGTGTTACTGATTGAGTAAGCGAATTTGTCGTCCTAATAAGAAATCCATCTAAGAAGAATCAGTCTCGAAAAGCATACGCTAGACAGATCTGGCGGCTCTCAGACGCGTCCTAGCTCCTTCGCTAAAAGATGTGAACCGTCTTGTAGACGAGTTTTTCAGATGCGAGTTCATAAAGACACCTAAGTCACCGTGAGCCTCTGCGGCTGCTCTGGTAAAGAAGGACGGAACTGTTCGGCTATGTCAATTACAAAGAATTAAATTCAGCAACCAAAAAATAAAATCTTTTTACAACCTCAAGTAAACAATTTGCAAAGTACCCAACAAAGCTCAAACTGGCTCTCTGCGCTAGATTTAAAATCAGGATGCTGCCAAGTGGGAGTGGAGGAGCAGACAGAGAGAAGACAGCTTTCATATCGCCAAACGGGATTCATTAATTTCAGCCAATATCCTACTCACTCTGTAATGCAGCGGCTCCTTTCCAACGCCTTATACAAACCACATCAATCAGATTATTCCTAAAACCAAGTATAATGTACCTAGATGACGAACTTGACTTCGGTGGGGATATTTGGGAGCATAACACCAATCTGAGACTGGTATTTAGCTACCTATGAGACGCTAATTTGACCCCAAATCGAAGAAATTTTAATTTTTCCAGCTCTTGGTCAGCGATTTAAGAAATACTGTCTCATTAAATTGGATGGCGGTTACCGAAGACTGCACAAAGCAAGTGAGGACCATGACTAACTAGCAGTAACCAGTTAGACGAGACGTCATAATTTCCTAGGTTTGGCAGGTCAGTACAGGCGTATCCTTAAAAGTCTTCCCAAGACCGTAAGTCAGCCGCATGAGTTGATGGGAAAGCAAGCATAAAAGTTTTCTAAGAAGAAAGAAGATTATGGTGAAGCGTTCAAATAATTTAATCGAATGCTCTACTCCACACCCATTCTAGCTATACCTGATTCCGAACCAAGTGCTCCACCATCCGTCCTGTGTCCTGACACTAGTGGTGCGGTCGTGCGAGGTTTATTTGCACAAATGTACAAACAAGGCAGGAGGAGAACGCGCCACTGCCTACTCGAGTACCAGACTCAACCAAAAAAGTGACAGACGTTGCGACGCTACGTGAGCTGTTCACTATCTCCACAATGGTTACACACTTCAGGCATTACCTGATAACGCTTGGTTCGTAGTAAAAAAGAATCATCAGTGGATTACTCGGTTGAAAGCAACTGAGGAATAGCAGAGATAAGGTTTTACAGTACAGTACGCGAAAGGGAATACACATAGCAGAGCAGATGCCTCGCGCGACTCGACAGAACTTCCGCGAATATTATATTTTTGACCTAATCCACTGAATTACGGTGGAGAAATACGGGTCTGATGTACGAGAGGTTCGTTGCATCCTCTTGCAAACCTACAGCGAAGGAGATGACCTCGTCAACCAAGGTGGCTAGACGGACATAGACAGCATGGTCGATTCTATCCATAGAGGACAAATGTCTGTTGTAATAAGATTAAGTTGGAGCCTTTAAGCACGTAATGATCCCAGACTCATTAGTGAAGGCATTTTTCCAAAAGTTACACGGGCAATTGGGCCATCTAAGGAAAAATAGAGATACTAGATGCCTCGAGCAAAATGTACTGGTGGCCTTTTCTCACTCAAGATGCACTTGATTCCCGCAGGGGCTGCGCCGCTTGCAGACAATTCTAACGACCTCACATTACGATGACTGCAGCACTTTGGGCCATGTTCACAGGTTCCTCAAAGAAGAATAGGCATTGACACCTCGGGTCCTCCAACGATCACAAAAAGAGGAAATCAGTGTATAATTTCGGCTAGGGCTGAGGCATAATCCAGGGAGACACAAGTGCCAAATTGTATTCCTTATGCTCTTTAATCAGTGAATTTATCAATAAAGTTGTTCAAACGGTACAAAGCGATCAAGGCGCTTATATCAAAAACCGATATTTTAGAAAAAAAAAACAATGCTTCCAGGATTTCTGAAACAATTAAGACATCTCAAAGTCCTCAGGGCGACGGAAAGGCGAATAGAACAACTCACACTCTAATTGCACTACTGAGATCTTTCAATAGAAATGAATAACCACAAAGTTGGGTTTGATGCAATGGACGGTGATTTCTTTCGTATAGGGCTACAGTCAGCGCACTGAAATAACACCGTCAAAGATGCTCACAGGACAAAAAATGAGAAATAAAACCTATGTTGCCTTACTAAACCCAAACGCAAAAACTCACAATGTCCTAGAGCAGTCCCAGGTACTAAAAATAATAAATCGAATTCCCAACCTCACAGGGAAATCCGTACGCCATTCATAGTTTCGACAAGAGAGATTTTATAAGAAGTACAGAGGGTCTAATGCCTGTCAAAAAGAAAACCTAGAACAACTATAAAGATCTGGCTGGAAACCTTGAAAACATCGCGATTTCAATCAATCTTGAGACAAA